GCAAAGACATCTACAGAGTGATACGGGAAGCCTGATTCACAGTGGGGTACAGGGAGCTGATCTAAATTATTTTCTGTTTCTCATTTTAAAGGCCCCTTTATAAAATCTGTGAGCCTTTGCCAAGCTCTTCACACAGTCTTGCCACCACATGAGTTGCATCCCTGCCTCTCTGAGCTTTGACTGACGACTCAGGCAGCTGTGTGGGCGGCTTAAGCACTGCAGTGTAGGCTTTTATGTGGTATTTTTTGGCTGACGCGCTATTTCAACTGCCTTGTCTTCATGGGTAGCATCTCCAATGTGACTGGCTATGCCAGACACATCTTTACTCATTCAAGAAAAATATTTGGTGAAAATTCCTCCATGTCTAAATACAAGTTTGTCTTCTTTTCTCAAGCATGGAAATTTTTCTGCTTCAGAAAACTGCAAAGGACCTGGAAAAATTAAATTGTCTCATTTTATTGAATAAGAAGCCAACAAAACATCATCATTCTTGTTGTGTTGAAAATTTTTTTTGAATTAGAAGATAAAAGTGAAAAAAAAAAAAGAGAGAAAAGAAACATTGCTTCCATCTACCATGTTACTTAATGTTGATCAGGAACACAGTTTGCCATAGAATGAAGTCACTAATTCAATCTGTGTGTTCGAGGGGCTGTGCCAGGTAATCTCGTTGTAAAAGCAAATAAAACGCATTGCAGGTTGAGTTCTTCGAGGAGCAGGAACCTAGGTGGAGTTAAGAATGCAGAAGTTACACTGAGGGAATGAACAAAAAGAAATGGGACTGAGCAGAGGAAACCCTCAGAACACAATGAGGGCTTGACCATGTCTCTGCCAATCCAATAGGAAGCCCAGAGTAAGACTGTCCAGGGGGAGAGACCCACATGGGCTAAGCCATTACACAACTGCCTTGCTCAGTTTTGGGCCAGGAGCTACCCTACGAAGAGCCTGGCCTCGACTGCCATTGCCTTGTTCAGTCACTAGCTGGAGCTTCTTCAAGAAGAGTTTACACATGGCTTCAACACTAAAGTGAATTCTGAAGAAACTAACAGCTTGTGACTGCCAGTAAATCCTTTCTCCATGAATTTTGAAAACAGCTTGTTGAGGGCTCTGGTGGACCTCATTTCCTGGGAGATAGGTCTTTGTCTCTGAAGCTTGTCTTAAGGCCATACTGGTTTTCATCATACCTCTTCATCTCTCCATTCTAAATTCCCTGACCCACAGCAGTACCCATGTTGGCCTTGCCAGTTTTTCTGATGAGTCTGATTCCCCATGAAACCTAAACTTCTCTGGCCAAACTTACTGAACATTTCCACTCATGTGGGCAAGGAGCATCAGAAGATGCTCGAATTGGGTCATCTGAATGCCACATATATTTCTTCTTGTCTCTATTTTATATTAGGAAACTTTCCTCCTTATGTTTCTGGGGTCAGTTACTTCTGACAAGATGACGATTCTTCTTCTTGATTTCTGGTCCCTGAGCATAAAGATCCAAAAGTGTTCCAGGGGAGAGAAATAGCCTGTACTTCAATGAGAACCTTGCTATGGGTCTAGATGTAGATGGCCCCTTTGCAAGCAAGGGCTTCTTATCCCATGGAATCTTGGAATAATAATGGATGGGGCCACTTCTACTCCTATCCCTTGGTTTCAGACCTGTATCCTCTCTGATAGAAACAATAACATCAGGAGGTCTCTGGATTGATAATGATAAGCATGCTGCTTCCTGGAGGAAAGTGCTGCGCCTCATAGGGCATTGCTTTTGAACTAATTCTTCTTCTCTTTCCTCATCAGATCATTCAATAAGGTAATAGACCAGCCGTTCCTAGGTGATGTAAGTCAAGTAGTATGTCAGGCTTACTTTTTTTGCTCCTCTATTGTAGTAAAGTGGATTTTCTGGCTGGATGTTATGTTGTATGGAAGACCACATCTGCAGATTAAGCATTCTACAAATTCCTAGATAGTGGTGCTGCCCTGTGGGCAAAACAGGCAAATGCACAGCAAGACAAATTGTATTCCTGTGAGAAAAAAAAACTGCTGGTATTTCCAAGGTGGAAGAATCCCAGTGAAATTAACTTGCCACCAAGTGGCCTGTTAGTCCTCTTGCCGAACACTGCCTTGTCAAGTGGCTTAGCATTCATGACTGTTGGCAAGGTAGAAACTGGAAGTAACCAGATTGGCTTTGCTTAGTCTATGTTGCTGGGCCCGTACATAATCTCTGTCCATTACGGAGGCCATTTTATGAGTGCATTCTTCGGCACTGCTGTCGGTACTGATAAATGTAGCTTACATAAACCGCTGACTCGTCTGCTTAGTTATTTGCTTACTTCATACACAATTGCATGTGATTATCCATCCTTCTACCCTAGAATTCCTTGCTTTGAAGGATAAGTTCTAAACTTTCAATCTTTTTCCTACTAAGATCCCCCGTAGCCACTCAAAACTTTTTCTATTGCCCGTGGGTCCATTTAGGTTCCATCACAAGCTCTTTTTCTTACACAAGGTGAATACGATCAGATTTACCATCTACTACTTGAGAAGAGTTTCCCTTTGTAACCAAGCATCTTTCTAGGCCACTCTTGAATAGGAATGTAATATAACCGCCATACAACTTTCGGCTTGCCCATGCTTTAGAAGTCAACAGCGGGTGACTACCAGGTAACAAATTTCCTCCATTTATAAACTAAAATTGGGTATTTGCCTTTTTCATTTGATCTTACAAAATTTCCTCTGCAACCATAAATACTGTATGTGTGAATCTGTGATGAAGTCTGTTATGTTCTCTAGTCCTGCTGATGTTAAGGCTTGGATGTAACATTACCACCTTAGGATAGTGTGCTGCTGGGCCCACATTCTGACTCCATTGCTTGGTAGGTTCAAAAGGATCTTGCCATGTTGTAGAGTTTGGGATGCATAATCACTTTGGTTTATCGTGCTAAAATACTCTAGCTCTCTGTCTCAGGTCAGTAGTACTCCAAGAGGTGTTTTTCAAAAAATATACAAAATTTTTTTTGTGTGTGTGGTATAGGGGATCAAACTCAGGACCCTGCACTTGCCAGGTAAGTGTGGAACCACTGAGCTACATCCCCAGCCCTAAAAATGTACAGTTCTCCCTTGCTTTGGAACCCTAGACTCTGCACTAGGATATTCCCACTCATGCTCTCTTTTTTATGACTGATATCTCTTTTCATCTCTTATATCTCTTTTTTCTTTCATCATTGATGTGTCCATTACTATGATGTCTACTCTGCATGGCCCACACAGCAGAGCACTACATTCTAGGCTTACTGGGGAGCCATTTTTGCTCCAGGTTCCATTAAAATCTGGCAGTGTTCTGGATCACCTTGTTTACAGACTGAAGCAGCATTCATAGAGTGAAACATGGTGCTTCTGGAACTCAAAGTCTATGAAGTGTTATGCTTTCTTCTTTGTAGCAATTTAGTTTGGGATATATCAGAACATTTCTCTGATCTCTGGATCCCTACATGCTCTCCTATGGTGGTTGACCCCTACATCTTCATAGGATTTATTTCTATCCTTTGGAGCTTGTGTATCTTATAAGAACTCAAGTGTATTAGTCACCTCTTGGCCACTTTGCTCTATCAGGATGATGTCATTGATAGAAAGATAGACTGAATGCTCTGCATGATGTTCAAGTGGCTCACATGATTTCAGACTATATTATGACCAAGGAAAGGAGAATTCACATACTGTTGGGGCAAGATTGTATATTGTTGATCTTGCCATATAAATGCAGCTCTTCTTTTTTCTGATCCTTGCTCCTGAGTGAGATATATAACAATGAGTTTGCCAATCAGATGGTTGCAAAATGCATTCCTAAGGCCATATTAATCTGCTTGACAGAGACACCACACTTGACACAGCAGTTGCAGTTGGGGTTGTCATTTAATGGAGCTCGAAATAGTCTGTAGTCACTTTTCAGACTCCATCCAGTTTCTGCAGGGGTCAGACTGGCAAATTAGAGATGTAATAGGAATCATCGTCTGTGAAACCTTTAGATCTTTAGTGGCAGCATTAATCTATTTTGGCTGGAGGGAGGTGGGTGTAGCATTTCAGAGGCTTCTACTAAGACTTCTGCACTATGATATTTTTACTCCACAGACCTGGGACCCAGTGAGTCTCAGGGCTCCAACTCCCAATTATGTCAATTCCAAGGCCAAAAATTAACAAAAAGACCTTGGCTGGACTTTGAGCAGGACTCCATTCATATGCCCCAGCTCTAACAGGTAAGCCATGGCAATGAGAATCATTGTCAGCTTAGACTCTTCATCCACAAGGCCTCACAAAGTCTGGGCATTTTCATTTCAACAGTCTAGAGCTCCTTGGGTATGTCTGTAGGTTGCTTTGAGAAAGGACTGAGGGAATCTTTGCAGCATGCTTGCCATGATGATGAGGGGTCCTTGTTTCTGGGGGGCACAGATGCTTCTTTAGTCATTGAATTCCAGATCTGAAAAGTGGCTCAGGCATAGGAACCAATGCGAAGATCATGAATTTTTTTGGATGACCATCTCCAACTTCCTGACTCTTCTTTCTTTCTTTAGCCTTGTTATAAATGTTAAGCAGCATACTTGTTGCCTTCCTATTCTACTCCTGTGGACACATGTTCAATAAGCCATGCTTATAACCCCTGTGAGTCAAAAGCCCTTGAAGTCACTCTGATGTGGTTAGTGACTAAGAAATACAACTACATGACCTCTATGCCATTAAAGAACCCAGCTCTATAGCCACTTTCCATATCACCAGCCCTGCAGAAGAAAGCCATCAATGAATCTCCTAGCAGCAGTGCTGTCTCTCTCACCAACATGCTCTTGATTGTGACATCCAAGTGTTAGTTATAAAAATCCTAGCCACTTCCTCCTTGACTCAGGCATCACTTTTAGAGGGAGCCCAAACTAGCTCAGGAGGAGAAATCAAATAGAGCAGCCATGTGTTATTATTCTCACTGAAAGATCAATTGAGGGTCCCACCAGCAGCTGGGATCAACTGCTAAGATATATGAGTGATGGAAGGTCCCTCCAGATAATTTCAGGTCCCAACTGTTAAGCCATTTGCAGCCACTGGGTCTCCACTGAGACAAACCATCCCTGTTGTCCACCGTCTGAATTCCTGATGATACAAAAGCAAAATAAAATTGTTGTTTTATGGTACTAAGATCTCCTATTCTTGTTTTGCAGTAACAGTAAAAGATTAAATTTATAAATATATTCCTCTGCTTCAACAACTGACTATAAAATAAAATGTTCAAAATAGCAAAAAAAAAAAAAAATTAAAAAATTAGGAATCATCCTGACAAAGAATGTGCTAGGACTATATAGAAAATAATGTTGAACTGTAAAAAGGACATAATTAGATCAAACCAATGTGACTTAAAAGAAAAATAATTGGATTTGATTATGTAAAATTAACAAGCACTCATAACAAAGCCAAGAGATAACAGACTGGTAGAAAATAATTGTGAAGTCTAATATTGACAAAGGTTAATATCTAGACTCTCCAGAAAACTTCCGTATATTAGCAATAAAGATAGGAGACAGGACAACTTATTAGGAAGAATATGAACCTTGAATGAGCAACAACTTAAGAAGTAAAACAAACTCTAATAAATTGGAAGTAAAAGCAAATTAAGACAAAGATGACATAGCATTTTAAGCCCACATGTCAAAAATTTTTAAAGTCAATAATACCAAGCATTGCAGAGAAAGTGAGAAGCTGGGGTCTATCATTCACAGATTGTCCCAGCCATATGACAAGAACTATACCAGTCTTCTCAAAAGATGTATACGTATTTCCTATAAACTGGTGATCTCACTCTGGGACATAACCTTCTTCTTCAAACAATTTCACAAGGATATAAGGGGTAAAACAATAGAGTACAGACAAGGAAATAATAATTGTGCTAGATATTTCAAAAGGAGGCATTAAATATAAGACATACAGGCATCAAAAAAGTCCAAGTCATCGCTAGGGTAACTTCAGCAGTTAAGACCTATGGGCAGCAACTACCATCTCTAGAACAGGGAAACAAAAGGCAAGAAGTGGTGTGACCACAACATCTGAGAATGAAAGAGGGGCTGTTTGAGGCAGGTGCTCAGATGTCTGAGAGGAAGGCACCATAAGGCTGGTGAATGAACCACTGAAGGGGTTTACAGCTGGTACTCAGACTATGGAGGGAGCACAGTTTATCTTTTGCCACCACCTCTGAGGATCTATGATGATGCTCGGGCAAAGTGATCTGTAAAAAGGTCTGGGCTGGAGTCCTTGTTGCCTGATGCTGATGGGAGAATGCAGTAGAACATGTTTACAAAAAGAAAGTCCATTTTCTCCTCCCCAGACTTCGTGAGGCCCTGTCAAAACCTTCTCTTGGAAGAGAAAGTGAGCTGGCAAGGAAGTCTGAGAAAAGCAGTTGACAGAACCCAAGCCTCAGGATAATTGGTAAGAATCCGAGAGGCGATAAATAAAAGGTCTATATCCCAGTATTATTTGTGGTAACAGGAGATTGCAGGTAAACTATGTGACATTTTGCATTGAGAGAAAAAATAAGAAATCCTTTATGTAATAGTTCTTTTTCCCTGATATAATTTTCTATTTCTGAAGTCTGCTCCCACTTTCTTTTGGTTACTGTTAACATGTTATATCTTTTTTCATTCACTTACTTTTTAAAAGTCTTCACCCTTATCAAAACTTTTCTTTTTTTTTTCACTCCATGCAAAATCTATCCATATTGCTGGCTTATATATTTTTTTCTCCTTGTGAGAGCATAGCATTTCATAATATTTATCCACAAAATTTTATGAGTTCAAAGCCAGCCTGAACCATATAATGAGACCCTGTTTCAAAATATCAACATCATCAACAACAAAATGTTCTTGTAAGGGAGTTCTGTAGGCAAGATTCTTTAAATTTTGTTTGCCTAAGAAAGTATTTCTCCTTCATATTTGGAGGATAATTTTTCAGGGTGCAGAATTTTTGGTTGGTATGTTTTTTTCCCCCTCTGGTCACTTGATATTTCAGTCCACTATTTTTTGTATGTTTGTCTGCATGGTTTCTGAGGAGAACGATATAATCCTTATTTGTGTTTTCTGGCTTTTTTTCAGGTTTTAAAAAATTTAGTACTTGGGATCTCCTGCATGTTAGACAAGCATTATACCACTGAGCTACATGCCCAGCCAGGCTTTCTTCTTTGACTTTTTGTAGTTTGAAAATAATATATCTAAGTATAGTTATTCTCATATTTATCCTGCTTGGGGTTCCCTAGGTTTCTTGAATCTGTGGCTTGGTGTCTGACATTACTTTGGGGAATTCTCAGTCATTGGTTTTTCAAGTATTTCTTTTGCTTTTCTATTTCTTCTCTTTCTGATATTCTCATTATGCTCCCTTATGTAGTTCCCATACTTCAGAGATATTGTGGGGTTTTAAAGTCTTTTTTCTCTTGGATTTGCAGTATGGGGGGCATATCCCGAAGCTCAAAGATTCTTCCCCGACAATATCCAGTTTTTTAAAAAGCCCGTGGTAGAAACCTCTCAAACCTGGACCCAAAGTAAACCTTTTCTAGTTTAAGTTGGACATGTCAAGTACTTTGTCCCAGCAATGAAAAAATAACTAATGCAAAATTGGCAGAGCACCAGGAAGTAAATATCACAAAACTGTGCAGAGCCCTGGAGTTTTATTTTCAGATTTGTACACGTTTTGTCTCCAGCAGCTCACCAATGACAGTTCAGTTTTCCCTACCTGGGGACTGGATTTCCTGGAGGTTTCTGTTCTAGTAAGTCAATTTACTACAAATATATATACATATATGTATATATATTTAATTGTTTTTGTTTGTTTGTTTGTTTGTTTTGGTACCAGAGATTGAACTCGGGCCCTTGTGCTTGTGAGGCAGGCGTCAGAACCATTGAGCCAAATCCCCTGCCCTATATTTTTATATAAAAAAATTTTTTTTTGCAGTACTGTGAATTGAACCAAGGGCTTTCACACTGAACTATACCCCCCCCCTCCATTTTTCATTTTGAATCAGAGTCTCACCAAGTTCTGAGGTTGTGCACATTGGGCACGAACTCAGGATCCTCCAGCCTCAGCCTGCCACAGTGCTGGGATTATAGACATGCATCACCATGCCCAGTTGTATCCACCTTTATCGTTCCAGTTTTGGGGGTAGCAGCTTTCAATGAGATCTCACTTCTCTTATGGATCTGAGAAGAGTTGGCGATTCTGCAATTTATTCAGCCTTTTAGTTATTAGGATGGCTTCAGCTTCCTGTATGAGTACCTGGAAACTGCAATCCTAATGACTGACGTTTCATTTATGTATGGTTGTAACAAAGTACAAAACAATGACATATTTGTTAAGAAGTGCTCATATACTTTAAGATACAGATATTATTATGTATTAAAAGTGTGTACTAAGGGTGCTGTATATAGCATAATTCCTGGACATATGCAACAGCCCTGCCGTAGTCTGTGCTAAGAGGAGACATAGAAGTAGGGATTAAAAAATGTAAAGAAAATAAGAAAAACAAAAGGACATTAGTACCTGGAAAAATAACAAGCTATGATCTAAGGAGCATAACACAAATCTCTACACCTTAGGGTCTCAAAGTAAGCTTTTATTAGCTGTACATTGCCAATTTCTTTCTAATTTTTGTACTTTCCTATTAATGTTTTTCAAAGCACTTAACACTGATTTTTTTTTTTCTCTTTAGGAATTGATCTTTTCGTATATTGTTTCTGCAGTCTGAGAGTTTTGGTCTCTTTGCCCCCACCCTGCCTTTATTCTGGTCTGACTTTGTACTTATGTAGGCATATAGCATTGATAACGTGCACATTTCCAAGTTGGACGTGAAGAGATCTGTAATTTTCACCTTCACTGGCTTTCGGGAATCCAAGCTGCTATACTGTGAGAAGTCTGAGCCAGGCGGAGAAACCCCTAGCCTGAAAGGAGGCCCTACAGTCATGGCCTCAGTGACCTCCCAGGAAACAGCTCCTCTAAGCCATGTGGGAGAGACATCTAGGAGGTTCTGACAGTGTGGAACCTCCAGGTTTCTACAGCCCTACTCAACAGTGCACAGAAAGGAGACCGGCCCAGTGGATCCCAATCATCTCAGAGATCCACGGACAACAATAAATGGTTGTGACTGTTTTAATGCAGTAAATATTGAGATGATTTGTTAAACAGCAGCAGAGAGCTGAAATGCTTCTATTACTTTAATACTGAGAAAATCTGTATTTCAGTGAACTCATTACCTATGTTTTCTTTAAATTTTTTTTTTAATTTTTATTTTTTTGCTAGAGAGTATTGAACTCAGGACCTTGTGTTTGTGAGGCAGGCAGCAGAACCACTGAGCTAAATGCCCAGCCTGTTTTCTTTTAATTTTTAAGTAACATCTAGAACTTTAGCTTAATTATTTTTTCATTCAACCATTTGACTCAGCTTCATCTGATGTATAATTTAGCTGTTCACTCATTTGTAATTATTTCTCTAAGGGGTTGAAAAAGGTTTAATCTACAAATTAATGTAGGCTCATGGTGGGAAATAGAGGTGGGGTAGGGTAGAGCATCTCCACAAGGACAACTAAATATTACATGTTGGTGCATTTCCCACTAATTTTTTGTATATATTTTCATGTGAGTGTCATTATCCAACGTAACACACTTGGACAGCTACATACTTTCTAGTACTCACTATAAGAAAAGCACCCTGCTGAGAAAACAGAGAAGACCGAAAGCAGGCTGCGCTGCCCAGAACAGGGGTACCTTTTCCTAACATGCTCTCTGCAGTGTATAAATCTCTGCCTTCAGCTATTTTCCCCTTAATGTGGGGCCTTTTTCAGCATTGGCTTTATTACGATCAGCTCTCTATATGCCTAACTTTAAAAAGCAAGTCTGGTCCCATATTGCTAAAACCAGAAGGAAGTTTTGAAGAAGGGCACCACTACACCTGAAATGTGGGAGAATGAGGAGTCAAGATACGGAATAGTTTCTGTAGAAGATGTGTTTTTTCTATAAAATGGAATATTACTCAGACATAAAGAACAAGAAAATAGATTCATTCATAGGAAAATGGATACATATTGAAGATATACTCCTAAGTGAAATAAATAAGTCACACATGTGTAAATACCAAATAGTTTCCCTGGTGTGAATAATTTGCAATAAAACATAAGATCCTAATAAGATTACTGTCATTTAGAAATGAGAAGAAAGGAGCTAAAGGTGTAGGGAAGGTGGGATGGGTAGGGGAAGGGTAATAAGGGAAAAGAAAAAAATGTGAGATAATGAAAAGATGGAAATAAAGTGTTTGTAGATGGGGAGGGGAGGAGGGGGTGAAGGGAGGGCAGGGACAAGGGGAAAAAATGAAAACCAAGACTTGTCATGTAGAGGTACAAGATCCCAACAATGAATGTAACTGTACTGTATCCCTAAAATGTACCAATAAACTCAATTAAAGCTGAAAAAAAATTTTAAAAAAAGGGACATAGAATGAAAAAAAAAAGAATAACTGAGTTTTAAAGACTGATGTTTCCGCTGCCTGCCTCGCAAGCACAAGGGCCCAAGTTCGATCCCCAGGACAAACAAAACAAAGCAAACAAACCAAAAAGGACTGATGTTACTAGTGTCATCAAAAGGGAGTTGAGAGTAAATACTATAGAGGATTGAAAATGCCCCCCTAAAATTTATATTACCCCCAAAATCTTAGAATGTGACTTTCTTTGGACATAAGATCTCAGAAGGGGTGAAACTTGATTTAGGATGAGCTCTAAGAGTAATGACAGACATCGTGATAGGAAGAGGGAAGACACTTGGAGAATGGGAGGATGTCACGTGAAGACAGCAGCAGAGGTGGGAGTCATGTGTCTGTTAGCCAAGGGATGCCAGAGATTGACAGCAACCACCAGAGGCAAGGAAGGAGGGATGACAGAAATTCTCCCTCAGAACCCAGAAAGAACCAACCCTACCAACCCTGATTTAGAACTTCTGGCCTCTAGAACTGTGAGAATAAATTTCTGTTGGTTTAATCCATGAGATCTGTGATAATTCACTATACCAGCCAAGAAAACCAACAAAGATACGTATTCCTGGTAATTTAAGAACTTACTGTACTAGGTAAAGTTGAATGGAAGGAAACTGTCAATATTTGAAAATATTTTTTCGCCTATAAAGACAGCACTCTCATATGGTTTCATCTAATAGTTTACGTAACTGACATATCTCTCACGCACTAACAAAACCAATTGGCCTGGATATGTTGTAACAACACTTTTTTCTTTTTAAATTTGTTTTTAGACATAAAATAACTGTACACATTTATGGGATATGGCGTGGTGTTTCAATACATGTATACACTGTAATAATCAAATCAGAGTAATCAGCTTCTTTATGGTAAAACATTCAAAGCCCTGTCTTTTAGCTAGTTTGAAGGATTCAATAAAATAGAAGATCAGAACTTTCCTCCTAGCTAACTGTGGTATGTTCCTATGCAAAGCACTTCGATGAAAGTATTGTTATATTTTTATAGATGAGAAATTGGCATTCAGAGAAGTTCATAGTCTCACAGTTAATACAGCACAGAATAAACTTGAAATTATCAGACTCTCAAATCTGTGAGCTTTGGTCTAACTTAGGCACCTCAAAACTTAATGTCCAAATCCTAAACGATAGAGCGTGAAAACACAGGAATTCCTGAGATTCAGCAACAAATTCCTGGGTCGTGCCAATGCTGCACATGGTGAGGTCTTAATATCCTGTCTTCCTGATGTGGTATAACTTACGATGTGATTCTTTTTGGAGTAGCTATTATGGATTCTATTCCTGCCCAGTGAGAGTCACACACAGACAGTTGAAAATATGGGGCTGGACTCTTTTGGAGAGATGAAAGTTGGTGTCATAGTTTTAGCACCACCATCAAAGAGTAGACAGCTGGAAATGTGAATAGATGAGCTTATTGAGTGCATCTTATTTAATTTATAATTGTTCATAGTTTATTCATTTTTGGTGAGACAATTTAGGCAGAAAACAAAACCTAGGTATTCTTTACATAGTCACTAAAAAATATTTTCTACTTGTAAGGTGGATTCTTAAAACAGCAAATTTTAAACACCTTAACACACATGGGAAGGTTTAAGAGCTACAAGTTAACTTTGCCTGAGACGAACTGGCCTTCAGGCCTAATGTGCGAAATTCCTACTAATAGAATTTTAAGTGGATATCTTAGTAGTGTCTTTTTTTTTTTTTCAAATAGAGTTTTGGTTTCATAGAACAACTATAGAAACTCAGAAAAATGAAAGGCATTCACATTTTCCAAGGCCAAGAATGAATCTGAGCTCAGAGTATTTCAGACATCTTTGAATATACACTACAGTGTCTTCAGCACAAACCAAGGGACAAAAAAGTAAAAGGAGGAAGGGAGAATGTCTTTACATTTAAAAAAATTCTTTCTGGAGGACTTGCATAGAATTTTGGGATTGTTCTGTCTTCGTGAGTCAATAGTGAAATTCACATCAGAGTTAGATCTACTGTGAGGGATTTCTTCACTTTATTTGAATTATTTAAGAGCTAATTTGTAACAGCTGCCTGAGTAAACAGACCTTATTTGAAAAGTAGAGAAGTAAAACCATGTGTCTGAAAAATTGCACACAAGTACTTGATAGAGTAACTAAATCAAACCCAGATGAACATGTGGCCCTGTAGAATCTCAGTAGTTCCTTCCACCTCATTTGGCAAAGGCCACAGCATTAAAGATGAGTAGAATATTCAAGGTGAAGGAATTTGTACTGTTGAATACGCAATTAAGAAAATAATGGGTGGTTTTCATTATGCTGGCCAAGGACTCTTAGAGGCATTTTCTCTGAGCACCATGCCCCAAAGTTTCTGGGAAGAAACTAATCGGAACCCTGGCTTCTGACTGACTTGGAGAGAGTCTCACTGCCATAGAACGGCCTACATTTTTCACTGGTGGGTAGTTTTCCTTAGTGACTCTGAGCAAGTGTGAAACATTTTAAACATTTTAGAGGCTAGAATCCATTACCCACCTGTTAGGACTTGATAGAATTGTTTGTAATTTCTAAGCAGTGTATATTATAACCATAAATGCTTTTATAGTGTGTGTGCGCCCCCCCCCGACATATACTTTGCAAGAACTGCAAGAAAAATAAATCCGAGGGACCAAGATTAGAATGATTTCTTCATAACATTTTCTAGGGAGGATCCTTTAATGTGATTTGACAGTTCCTTTCATAAAGGTCTCGATACTGGCTAATTAAAATTAAGCTAATACTGGAGTTTATTCATCTCCTTCTTGGTGTGTTATCTTGTGATTATTCAACAACTGCAGAGAATTGTCATGTTCTGAGGAAGCAGCTTTCAATGTACTTACCTTTTCATTCTTCTGCATGTTAAGAGGAATAAAACTGACCAGGATGAAGCAAAAATAATTGTAAAAGTATCTTGGAAATCACAAAACTAGTATTGCTCCAAAGGAGAGATGATATAGTACTATTTCTGTATCACTCTTTTTTCTTTAATAATGTTCTAACTCTATAATTTAAAAATTCCAACAAAGGAAAAAAAAACAAGTAAACTTATAATAACTGTAGCAGTTGCATTTTGGAGGAATAGATCAAGGTTTCTTTCTGGGTGATGGTTTATCTATACATTAGAATAATTTATTGACTATCTCAAACTCAAAAGACTTTTCACAGTAGAGTATCGTTGTTCTGTTGCAAGTGCCATTATCGTCATAGGCACTTGATAAATACCTTTTGATGATTGCTAGAAAATCTACTAAACTCTTAAAATTGAGTAAGCATAAAATGTTCTGCACTAAGGACATTTTCTTGGCATTCTCTTATAATTCCATGAAAAATCAAATTAGTTTCCACTTTGGCTAACTACTTCACCATTTGTGGTTGGAAGACAACAAGCATCATTTTAGTTATTTTCACTTAAAAATAAAAAGATGAATTGGCCCTTTGTGAATACACATATTACACACAGTATCATCTTATTTCAGTCTTTCAGTTGGCATAAGGGAGAGAAGAACATGATAATGACGCCAGGGATTGATATTCAGTGCAAGTG